TTTAAAAAAAATTTAATAGATATTATTAATTAACTTTAAGAATTATGAGGGGTCGGATACTTATGACCGCTACTGTAATTATTCATTCCCGATTTGATCAACTAAATATCGATCTGAAAAAAGAATTTCTGTTACAAATCCTTTATTCTTGGAAATTTTTAATGTCTTCACAATTTTTATCAAAGTTAAGTCAAAATTACATTGAATTATTGGAAGATGAGGAATATTATGATGTTACTTTGGAAGTTGGGGAAGATCCTGATGTAAAAATATTCCGTGCGCACATGAATATTTTATGTTTCCGTTCTCCGTATTTACGACGTACTTTGACTTTGAATGAAAAAAATCATGATGATGTCTTGGCTCATTTGAAGTTGTCTAATATATCTCCGGAAACCTTTCAAATTATTTTAAAGTAAGTATATGGATTTTTAAGTATTAAATACGTATTTTCTTACATACTTTCTTTCTTTTAATAATATATAGATATATTTATGGCGGCGTTCTCACTCTTAATTGGCAAGACGTTTCGGTAATTTTTAAAGTTTTGATAGCAGCTGATAAGCTTCTCCTTCAAGAACTAGTTGATTATTTACAAACGTATTTAATTGAAAATGAATCCGAATGGATGGAGCAACATTTTGAATTTACTCATAAAGCGAGTTTTCAATCAAGTAATTTATTAGAAATTCAACAATTTTGTACGGATTTCTTGTGAAAAAATATTTGAATCACTTCCTGAAAAATCTTTAATATCACTCATTAAAAGAGATGATTTACAAATGAGAGAAGCGAAAGTTTGGGAACATGTATTGAGATGGGGTCTTGCGCAAAATCCTACCCTTGTTTCAGATCCTGCTACTTGGAAAAATGATGATTTCAAAGCGATGGAAAATACTTTACAACGATGTTTACCTTTAATTAGATTCTTTAGTTTATCATCTAAAGAATTCTCTCAAAATGTACGACCATATAAAAAGCTATTAAATCCTCAACTTTATGAAAATTTGTCAAATTCTTACTTGGATCCTGATGTTGAGCCATCTTGCGATATTTCCTTTCCTAGGAATATTAAATTTGATGGGATCATTGATACAAAAATTGTTAATTTAAATATTGTTTCAACAATTTCAAGATGGATTGGTAAAGTGGATTTTAATAGTAAATTCTCTCATTTACGAGAATTATATTTTCCATTTAAATTTGAATTATTACTAAGAGGGAGTCGTGATGGATTTACTCTCAAAAAATTTCATGAATTATGTGATCATAAACCCATTACTGTTGTATTTATTAAAGTAAAAGGAACGGAAGAAATTATTGGTGGATATAATCCTATAACATGGAAAACAGATCATAGTACTATGGGTACTTATGGACAAACTAAGGATAGTTTTATATTTTCTTTTAAAAATAAGGATAACTTTTTTAAGGATGCGATTTTGAGTAACGTAAAGAATATAGGTTATGCATTATTTTATCATCATCTCAGTGGACCATGTTTTGGAAATACAGATCTTTTAACGTTTGAATCAACAGATTACACTCAATTATATTGCAAAAAGTCTTATTATGAAAAAAAGATAAGGGATACCGAAGGTAAATTCTTTATAGATGATTATGAAATATTTCAAATAATCAAGTGATAATAAATATAGTTCGTATTAAAATGTTATATCAGTAAATTGCTAAGTTGCTAAAAACCTTAATTATATTAAAGCCAATTTGATTCTGTCAGATTCGGAATGCATGCAATAAAAAAGTAACCTAAACATTTAATAAAATAATAATTTATATCTTTAATTTGGCTTATTTTTTATTTTATTTTATTTTATTTTTTTTTTTTGATGCATTCTTGCTTGGATATGTTTTCATTTTTTTCACTTCTTTAGACAAAGGAATATGCTAAGGATCGAAATTTTCTTTTTCTCTCAAGAATAGGTATTTGATTTTCTCTGTCAAGTTGATGCTTCAATTATAAAGAATAAATTATTTAATTAATTATTATAAGAATGAAACATAAAAAAAAATGATTGATAAAGATTATTTACTAAATAACCCGAAAGATATTGCCTTGAGACTAACAATGTTCTAGAGCATTACGTTCTGCACTTGAAACATCCGTTAGTAAAACCATTGAATAAATTATTGGTCCGCATCAAAGGGTGGGAGAAATGTTTTTATAAATGTTTGTTCAAATGATATTTTAAGTTCTTCCGAGTAATAAATAATTCCAAATGTGAGACCCCGACTATTGAAATCCTGATCAATTTCCTATCTTAAAACAAAATATCTTGAGATCTTGTATCGTTTGTTAGATAGAAATTATACCACCCGCCTTATGCGTTCTCAGATATAATAAAATCTATTCTCAAAGAACACGTTTAACAACATATAATCGGCAATTATTAATTTTTACTGGGAGTATCAATATTATTTTGATGATATTCTTTCATGATGAATGATTTTAAATTATTAGTTATCCTTGACTTTTAAAGTTAGTATCATGGAGAGACACAAAAATTTTATGATGGTATTGCAATGATTATGTTGAATGATAAGAGAAACTCAATTGCAAAAGATTATAAAAAAAAAATTTCGAAAAATAAAACCTAATCTTCAAAATAAATAAATTTCAAAGCAAAGTGTAAAACCTTTAACGAAAATAATTAAGTAATAACGCACTATGTCGTAATTAGTACACAACGAAAATCAAACAATCATTTCGGGAACCGACAAATTATAATCCCGACAAGCCTAAAATACCGAAACATTTGAACCCGAATGATCACATGATTTCGAATTTCCGACCGAAGTTCGAAATCCCGATATTTTCATAAATCTCAATATACGTAGTAAAAAAAATTATGCCACTATATACAAGTTTAACCGAGTTTTTTTTTTATTAGCAATAAAATTGCGTTCAATTTTTTATTATACTTCAATTTAAATCATTGCTTTAATCAGATTTAGTATAATCAAATAAAACATAAATTTTAAACTATTATTTGCTAAATATTATTTTTTTTTTATTATAAATGGAATGGAACAAAACCGCCCAGATTCTTTATAACCAATAACGTATGATACCTATTATTCGATACGATATATGGGACCTTTGTAATAAAAAGATAGAAAGGAGAGAAACTACCGAAAAAAATATAATTACCTTTATATGCCAAAGATAATTTAACTCTTTTTTATTTTCTGGCAGTTTCCCTATTATGTGAGCGTTGTATATATTTTTTATCTTTGATAAATAAAGAAAAAAGATTATGACGATTTTTAATGACCGAGAAAATCGTTCAGTGATGAAGTTTCTTCGCGAGATCGCGCTTAATTTTTCGTTATAGTTAAGCCAATTAACGGAAACATTATATATCAACAAGTTTATTTGTTATGAATATCAAGCGGGGGGCAAATCCGATGTGCTTCTTTGTCAAGTTTAAATTGTTTAGGATCTTGTTTTACGAATTTAAGTTCTTTAAGGAAAATCCCCGTATGGAAAGTCTTTTGACTTTCCGATACTCCATTTATCTGTACTTAAAAATTTATTTTTATATTCAACGTGTTTCATTAAATTTAACTTCATTTAAATTTTTAAGTCAATGGAACGAAAGCTTTATGCTCCAGACCATTATACACCAAAGACGCATCGCACATATTTTTGAATAATCCGAATTTTTGCATAATAACAATTTGTATGTAGCCAATTCCATCAAAAGATAAAAAGTACGATAACAATTTTATGTATAAAATTATTTATTTGATTGTTTCCTTTAAAGAAATTTAATTTAAGACACAAAGAACCGGTTTTCTTTTTCCCGTCGACCTTTTTGTATCCAAATCTTTTTTTTTAAATAATTACATTCTCTACCTACTTCAGCACAATTTTTGATTAACGGTTTTTTATTTTTTATCTTTTATAGATAATATAATATGGGTTGATTGCTAGGAAAATCAGGTTCCGGGAATTTTTTATATACGTTTTAAAATTCTAAAATTGTATTTTAATATCAACATAATTATTACAATATATGTATTCTTTAATTATTTTTTTTTGCAGAATAATTCAGACGATTTTAATGCACGTGTCTTAATAAAAAAAAATTATAATCCCAACTCCTTCTCTTTCTTGATGTTTAATACTTCCGATACTCGAATTTTAATTTCTTTCTCTTTAATAGCCAGTTCTCGTAATTCCAAGGCTCGTATTTTCACTTCTCTCTCTTTAATGGCCAGTTCTCGTTTATAGCCGTTCATTTTTTGATGTCACCAGTTGTCAAAGTCTATTTGGCAGAGTCCTGCTTAAAGTAGGATGCATAAAGTAAGTTTATTTCGGCAGGAGTTTAATTCATCTATTTTAACCGGTTAAAAAATATCTTTAACCGGTCAACATGTTAACCGTTTTAACCGGTTAAAAATTAACCGGTTCTAACCTCTAATTTTAGGATATGAATAAACAACTTTTATATTAATTTGACAGGTTTAATGATAAAAAAAAATCCTACGAATAAATAAAAAATACACACCGGGATAAATAAATATATAGGGAAGATTAAAGGATAAGAAGTTGAAATTTTTGTGAGATGAGGGTGAGCTCCAGTTAACGAATATTTTAACCGGTTATTAACCGGTTAAAGATTTAGTTCGGTCCAAGGATAAAAAGTTGAAATTATTGGGTAAAGGATAAGAATTTGAAAATTTAATGAAGTGGGGAGTATTTATAATAAAATCAAAGACGCGTAATGTGTGACATCACACATACTATAGATACTGATCTACTAAATAAATTATTTAAGAGTCGCGCTATTAGAAATTTGCTGATAAATCAATCGATTTCTTATTCCGTTTGAAAGACTTTGGTAAGATAACATTAAATACATTAACAGAAATGAATTTATTGTAGAAGACGGTAAATACTAAATTATGAAAATATTCTTATTTACTATAAAACCTCCTGTGATTCATTTATAAAAAGTAAACATTCCAGTGTACTAGTTGCAATCCTTTGATAATCCGAGCAATGACACCCCTTTTTACAGGTCAAGAACAATGTGGCTTAAGTGCCCATGAAGATGGTAGACATCATTTGTATGAGTCTTTCTTGTAAGCTTTTTATTGTTAGAATTGACTATTTACATTTTATTTCATTGGTTAAATTTTTTAACACTTCATACTAAAAATTTTTTATTTTCAATCAAATGGTGATTTCATTTTTCTAAATACCTTGTGCGAAGACCCGCTATCTCTTTTCAATTTACGATCTTTTAGCGCTTCAATAATGAAAATTTAAATGCAATTTTGGATGTAATTGAACAATGGGTGATCCTTATTTTTTGGCTCTCGTAGGGTATATTTGTAAATGAAAATTTTTTAAAAAAAATTCCTTAGGAATTAATTTTAAATAATCAATTTCTTACAGGTATCTATTAGTTGGAATTATTGGAGAGGCGATTACAATGATTTTAGATTGAAAATCTTTATAAATTCAAAGGTATCCGTTTCGATTTATTATAATATTATATAATTACATGTCTACAACAAATTAGGGATTGGATTTGATTCAAAAAAATAAAATCGATTTAATCGCTAATAATTGTTTCTCAAGATTCGAAAGATTCCAATTCATCAATTCTAATCGATTTTTTATTGAATAGCGATTTTTGACGCGGACATCAAAATTTTATTTACAAAAAAAAAAAATAAATAATTATTTTTCGAAAGTCATTTAGTTTTCTATTTAGCTTCATATTCTTCAAAAGGAGGTAATGTATAAATTTAGCATTCTTTTTATTTTATTTTTATTTTATTTTATTTATTTTTTTTTGTAACTTCTTTTTTTACTAGTGTTCGAATTTGTTTTAATAAATTATCGTTTCAGATGTACGCTGCTATATGTGTATTTTTTATTTTTTTTAATTTTTTGTTTTTGATCGCAATGATTATTTTGTTATTAAATATTTTTATTATTTTACTTTATAGGTTTTTTTTATAAACTTTTTTCCTCAAAATACAATGATATATGTTGGTGAATGGTTTAAATTACGTCCTAGGTTTTATCCACAAATACTGGTGTCACTAAAATTCAATTTTTAATTTTCGAATTATTCGATTTGGTTAGAAACAATTCCAATTCCTTACGACAAATGGCTTTTCAATCTACACGAGAAGGAAATATTAACTATAAAGAGGTAAATTTCTCGTACATTAATTTTACTCTTAAAGGCAGATTCGTGTGATAGAAGAGTACTAGTCTAAGAAACCGCTAAGAGGAACATATATGTTATAGTCGAACCGCCCATGTCAACTGCCACTTCGAGCCGTGAACAGGAATTGCTTGACCGAATCACATCGTTAGAGGAATCACTTAACAAGTCTGTTTATGGCACGTATAAAATAATGGGGAAGGTCGAGAGGTTTGCAGAACAAGCATTTTCTAACAAATCATTATATTGCAGAGTTAGACGTCGTCAGCTGAAGGCTTTCAATTGGACAGTGAATATTGAGCACGCGACATTCCAAGGCCTCAAAGATTGGTATACGTGAAATGTACTAATCACTCAAAAATGGTGGAGCGGTATTAAACCTCATTAATTATTGGATAGATATACATCTAGGAACGATGCTTCATTTTGAGACATATAACATTTGATCGTGTCAGACTATAGCCTTAAGTTTAGCGTGTACATAGAGACTCCATCAAAAGCTTTCTTGGAATGATCATTTCAAAAAAGTCTATCACACCTTTATAATATTAACAGTGACCCGAATCCTGACATTGATGTGTTTCCTGTTTTATTTATGTGGCTCTGCTGATCTAAATAGCTAAAAGTCCAAAGTCGTGGTAAAGCACTTAACGGCTGAATTAAAACTTCGTCAAGATGATACTCCTCTCAACAAGGCATATGAGACAACGGAGACTATTTATTCTTACTATTATCTGACAACCGGGGTCTCATTATATAAAGATAATTTAAATTCATACCGGAAAACTATCGAGGGTCGAAATGGACAAGGTAACCTTGCTTATGCAATAGAGTATCATTCGACTGGTAGGATCCTTGGTATATTCTTAAGAAAAAATATTTTATGAAGGGATTCGCCCAGATGTCTGTCAGGTCGTAAACGCAAAGTCAATGAAATAACGAGTAGAGAGGATGTGAATAAGGTGTTTGGAATTTTTACCGATGCATCCAAAAGATATTTTATGGAATGTGCCCTAGACTTTTATCAATAAGATTCCTAAGATCACGCTGTTCTTTTTCCAGTGATTCGGATGATAATTATGATTTTTGGATTGTGTATATTAGGTTATAAGGTAATGTAAGTCAGTTATTATTCATTGTATGCTTAGTCTCATATAATTGCTAATCAAAACTTACCTTTATGAGGATGAGTGATTGAATTCACATTGATTATCAGCAGTACTGGAATGTCGATTCTAAGGATTCAGATGCTACAAATTCTCTTCGTTCATTGTTGATGATAGCTATAATTGATATGTGAATCTTTCTCAAAAAGTGATGACAAAAACTGTGAAGAATTTTCACGATCAGCTGGATAACCTACTTATTTCCGAGAAAGCCGATCACTAATAACTTTTTTCAAGAAAAAGAGTTTCGTCAGTTGATTTTTATATACCTTGCGTAATATATGCAAAACTAAGCGAAAAATTTAACTTACCATTACTTTTTGCGTCAAAATTAATCAAACAAGTGGATATTTGGTGCAGTGAAATCGGAGGATATAAAAATCAGAATGAAAATTTACCAAAACGTATCCTAGGGTAAAATTGTGGGAGCTTGATTTTTCTATGATAAATTCCACAACTAATTTTGTTTCGGATTCTTTTGCGATATAAGCCTTATCTTCTCCCTCTGATGTCATAATTTGCCAGGATGATGAATCACAAACTTTTCAATATTTGCAAATAAAAAATCGGATTACCATTTTTCGTATATGTTTACATCCCACCAATGCCACGGAAACTGCTAATATTTTTGATCTTGAAAATCGTGATCGGCAAATTAGTGGATTTTCATGTTTTGCGACGATCAACTGCAGAGGAATCGCGTCATGCAAATCATCAGGTTTGGCAATGCAGATTTTTTTAGTGGAGATAGGAGTATGATAGAAAATTTGTATTATTAATCCTTCATAACTAGTGCTGGGTTTTAAGCATACTCGAAAATTTTCTTTATATACAGATAGTAAATAAGCGTCTTGGTAAATTTGAAAAAATTTTAATGTTTTATTTTTTTTTGTTGTCCATTAATCCAAATTATATTTTTTTTTATATCTTTTTACACCAGGATTTTCACATACAAGCGCGAATTGTGACTACATCTTTTATTTGATATTAGATTGGTTCTGTCAGAAAAACTCAATCCACTGGAATATTGTTGCTTTATTAAAAAAATTATTAATTAATGTTTAATAATGATAACTTTTTTTTTACCTGCAATTGCAAGATATTCTCTATTCATTATGGAAATATATAATCAATAAATTAAATTATATAACATACATTTGATCCAAAGAAGAATATCTTGGTTTGTACTGCAAAAAGAGCATTTAAATATAATTCCATCCCATTTGGTTGATATTATTTTTTTATGTTTTGCAAATTATGTATGATCATAATATTTTCTACTAAATTAAAAATAATAGTTGGTGTATAGATGTTATAAATATTACGAACTGTTCCTTTGGTATATCAAATAAAACTTTTAATAATAATAATTAAGCTTTTCCAGTTCATTCTATTACTTAAAAAGAAGTTTAACATATCAAAGTCGCGTAAAGTAAAATGAAAAAAAATCAGTTCACTAGATCATCCAGGTCGAGCAAAACTATGACCATGAGCTCGATCAGCTCGAAGCATTATTCTTACCTTTATATTGCAAAACGCTTTATTTTCAAGTCTGATAACGAAATGTATTTTGTAACCTAAATAATTTCTGCTATAAAAATGTGCAATTAAACTATCGTTAAAATTTTATTTTCATACGCATCTTTTTGTATGTTTCATTTGGAATAATTTAAGAAAATACATTGTCGTAGTTAAGTGATAAGAAAACTTTTGCTCATGTTAGGATAAAGTTTTGATCGATGTTGATCTCATCTCAGTTAAACTTATAAAAACTATTTAGACAATTATGATATACCAAGATTATTTTTGAAACCACAGTTAGCCCTCAATTCATTTTATTTGTTATTAATGAAAGTTTTTATTTTAACTGAATTATTAGTAAAATCATTATAAATAAATTCAATCGATTTGGTAAGTTAAGGTTTAAAAAAAAATACCACTTCTTTTATATGATAGTACGCGTTCACTTTGAAACATGTAAATTATATCGATCTTTGAAATCTATCATTGGACATCATATATGATCTATCTAATAAGAAACAAAAGAAATTATGAGGTGCCGTCCTGTTCAAAAGTCCGGATTATTAGATCCTAGATATTTTTTTCTTACATATTTTATCTCAGATGCATCAAGATCCAGATTAAAATACATATTTTTTTGCAATTTCCTCGAGGCCAAATGACAGGTCAAATAAACTCACATTGCATCATTTTGTTAATCATTTAATCAATCAATTACATTATAATATATTATAGTACTATTAGAAAATAAAAAATTTATTATTGGCTTCTTTGACCAGCGTCTCACATATGACGTATTTTAATAATTAATCACATGTTTCATGCAATCTAGTTTATATTATTTAATTTTTTATGTAAATTAACAACAAAGATGAATTGTGATATAGTAACAATGCTAGATATGGTGTAAAAGCCTTGAATTCGAGTACTACTGTACCAATCTAAAAAAAAATATCAAAAATTTTTTTTATTTATTATTCATTCAGCCCAGGTGATCAGACAATTTCACTCTTTTTTACAAAAAACATTTTCTATAAACTCAACATGGCTTTAAAATTTTGGAATTTTGGCATATTTATAAAAAGAAGGTTCAACACATCACGTCTTTTTCAAATAACTGTCACAATAGTAATATCTGGTAAAAAGACCATACTTATTATAAATACACTTATTAGAAGTATAAAAAGAAGGAATGGTCTTTTCGTGTACTTACATAACATATTTTAACATAAATAAATGCAAGACTTAGAGCAGTTTTGAAAGTTCAGCTTTAGATGATGAAATTATTCTATATTTACCTATTAAAGAACTAATGTGATTGCAGTTATAGCATAAAATAGAAGAGTAATTAATTTTTTTTATTTATCTGAATAATTGCTTCATTTGAATGTTATTATGAGTTTTTTTAACATTACATTTATACTAATTATGCTCATCTTAACACCTATTTGAAATCTAACTTAATCCATAATAATTTATTTATGCTATACTTATCAAGCTCAGTTGGCTCATCATCATAACATTGTACTTGAAGAATTACTAATCGTCTCCCTAATATATCTGAGAGAAAAAAGAACAAACTATTTAACATATTTTCTGAATTCATTGCATTTGAACCCATATTACATAATGTACATTAGCTGATTCCAGGAAAGATTGATATCTATATTTATACAAAATAAATATTTTACCATTCTTTTCAATCGAAAGATCTTTAAAATGAATATGTAAGATGATATGAGTCATTGTATTATAAGCTCTAACAAGAATTTAGCAAAAAAAATTTTTCTAATATTGCACTGCACATTTTCAAGTGATGTAATACTTGATCATTTCATCTGATCTAGTCTTATTTCTCCTGTTATAATTTAACTGAAAACTTCAAAAAATTCTTTCAAGTATTCAGACTTGATTTAGAATATAATTCTAACACCTCATTAAGTAGAATTCACTCTTTAACTTCATCATATAGCATATAATATTTTATTTTTTTAACTATTACCATGCAAATACCAATAATTCTTTTTACATATAAGGTAGATTTTGAAACTAAAATTTTATAGCAATTTATTTGATGCTCATCTTCTTTATCTATACTGAAGTTTAGTTTTATATGCTAAAGTCATAATTCTCTTAAAAAAACCAATCCAATTTGTCAATATATAATAAGAAGAGCATCCAAAATTTTTATGCATTTTATGATTTGATTTTAATATAGATGTAAGGTTACTTAGATTTTATTAATTTCGTTAAATTTTGCACAAAGCAGATAAAAGAATTATTGATCAGGAGAGCTTACCTTTTACTGAATATATTTTATAATAGATTTATTATGTAAAAATAATTTTATTCTCATAATTCTATACTTAGCATATCACATGAAAAAATATATATACTTTATAAAAAACATGCTTTAATTTATTATTTATATAAAAAAATTACATATTACATTTCATACTGTTAATAAAAATATTATGATTCTTCAAAGATCTTATTTATAAAGAATATGTTGAGAGAGTTTGAATAAGAATCATGATTACAGAAATAAGCCAAGTACTTAAACCATTTCCTCTTTAAATGACATAATATTAGAAAATGATAATTTAGCAATATTTTAAATATATATATGATTCTTTAGAATAATATTATAAGAGCTATTTTATTAATCCAACTAGTTTTTATTTCGTAACATGCTTTATCAAATTTAAATTCTTTAATTTTCCATTAATATTAAGACTAATTATATTATTAAGGATGTTATCTACTGTAAGTCTTGAAATATTTTATTTGTGTAATTCAATAGTGTTAAAATTGAATTAGATCTAAAAGTTTTACTATAATATTTACCTTTATTATAAGTGGTAATTTAGTTCTTTTTTGTGAAAATAATTTCATTACTTCTATGCTTAAAGTTTTGATTACCTTCCTAATATTATAGAGAGAGCTAAATCCATTTCTTCATTCTCTTCGTTATATAATATTATATTATTTGGTTTCTTTAAAAAAATTAATATTAGCTAAATATATTCATAAAAATAAAGTAGTAGAATAGATAAAATTAAATAGATTTACCAACTGATCTTATGTAAAATCTATTTTCAATTCATCATATTCTTTTCTAACTTTTACCTACTTTTTATATTCAATCCAATTCAGAAAGACTTAAAACTTTTAACTTGCTCTTTCTAGATGCTCTTTCATATATTAAGAAAACTGAGACTAGGAAACTATACTTTTGATATATTTATGAGTTTTTAAGAAAAGGTTGTGATATGATGTAACTATATCAGTAATTTTAGGATAATTTTAATGTGATTTTTTTAGCGATAAATATTTTCACATTATGCATTAATCTTAAATGAATGGCTAAATTTATAACTGTAAATCTAAGCTTGACTGAGAACTAACAAAATAATCTTAGATTTTTAGGAATTAGTTTCAGAGCTAATCTTTCTGAAATAACAATTTCTGATTTTTATCATATTATACTTCAAGAAGAAAATTCTATTATCTTAATATATACATTATTTTTGCCTATTACAGTTGACAGTTTTTTGATATCTTTGTACCAGCTAGTGCTATAAAACTAATGTTATGCTTCTTGTACTTCTAATGCAATTTGATAATTTTAGAAGAAGACATTAAGCTTTAATCCTTAAATAATGTAACGTATAATTCTTGCAAACTATAACTATTAGACAGGGTGTTTGAGCAGTTTATTTTTTTAATTGCACAGTAAACTTTCAACAATTTGCATATTTCAACTCAGACAGTTTATCAAAAGTGTTTAGACTATTACAACATGCAGTGCTAATAGTTATATCAGTAAAATAATATGTTTATTCACGAATAAAATAATAAAATAAGAGAAAAGAAATAAAAGAAAATAATGAGATAAGAAAAGAAATGAATTACTAAAAACTAAAATGTAACACAGTAGACCAGTTGCCTCTAAAACTACTAAAACTACTTGTTCAGTTCCTATCTGTCTCTCTCTTTATATGAATTAAAAAGCTATCTATTTATATAAAATAATTTACATATATAAAGATATAACTAACATGTCTACTATGTCAACTATGTCTAATATATTAACTATATCTAATATGTCAATTATATCGAATATGTCAGTTATGCCACATATGTCTGACATATCACATATATCACTTATGTCAAAGTAGTCAATCTTCTGCACTACATAAGCTACGTCACATTTACCCGTTCACAATAATAAGATGATGATACTCAATTATCAGCTCTTTATTAAGAATTCTCTTAGTTATCTGTATGCATCTAGTCTGGAATTTGCAATTTTTCTTAGATTTTCTTTCCATCTAAGACTGTTTTAATTTTATATTTCTTTTCACAAATTTTTTTTAAAGTTCAGAAATCTTAGCATTCTTCTTTCTAAGATCAGTAATCTCTGTTAAAAGTTTAGAATTCAATTCTCTCAATGATTAATTTCTAAGATCCTAACCTAAAAGTTAAGTTATTTTGTTATTGTAATAGAAAAATAACTCAAATATCACTCTCTTTAGTATTATTTATTGAAACCCTAAAATAAATTACTCTGATTCGTTAAAAAAAAGAAGAAAGGGAAAAAATAATAAAAATAAATAAATAAAAAGAAAACTAGACAATTTCAATACCTCGATCTTATTTATATTAAATAAATATTTAAAGTAAAGGTTAGACAAAACCCCATAAAGAATTCTAAACTATAATAAATCCCTCCTAAATTAGTCTCACTTAAATTATTAACTATAAAAGATAACATATAACAAGATTAATAAAATAAATTATTTAAGCATTGAAAAATGGTGGATATTTTATATAATAAGATTATAGAAGAAAAGATTTATATTTGTATTCATATTTTTTTTAAAGTATAAAATATGAAATATAAATTTAAATCAAAATATAATGCATGATATGAGAGAAAAATAATGTTAAGTAATAAAGAGTAAAAAGGTTAAATAAACATGTGAATATAAGGTAATGAATATTTGTTTAAAAGTGTTATTATACTAATCACATAAGATCATACTTTAATTTAATATTATAATAATAAAAAGTATAATAAAAATATAATTTGTTGTATTTGATATTTAGCTGTTAGCAAAAAAATATCAGTGTATAAAAATCTGTATGATACTAATAGACTGAATTATATTAGAAGAAGAAGATAAGAAAATAAAGAAAATATTTAATCTAAATTAATTTTATCCAATTTATTTAATTATTTGCCAAAGTTATAAATATTATTGTTAGAAATGTAAAGTTAATTTTGTAAAAAATTATAGCAAAATTAATTGATTAATATGCTATTTTCAAGTTGTATTAATTGTATAAATTTTATTAATGTCGGCGTTTTCAAAACAAAAATTTAATTTATTAAAATAAATAATATGATTAAAAAATAAAAAAAAGCTTAAGATGTTTAAATTCTAGAAATTTAAAATTTTTGTTATTTTATAAACATTTTATTTATCAACATCTATTGTTCTCCTAAATTATCTATTCAGACTTCTTATCTAAATAAACTTACTTTAAAAATTAATGCTGCATTTAACTCAATCTTGATCTATTAACAAATTCTTTACAGTAATCTTACTAAAATAAATTATTAAAAGAAAATTCAACTGAATTTGATTTTTATTAAAAAAAAAAAGTAATGTTCTTTGATTAACTTATATTCTTATGCTCTTCTTCTAAAATTTTAATAAGTTTTATGAACTTCTACTTATATAAGATTCAATTCCAAAATACTCTTGTGAAGTTGCATTATCATTAACATTATTATAATGATCTTTAAAAAATAATTAAAAGAAAACTTACTATCTAAATTAAAAATCTCTATCAAACTAGCCTTTAGGTTTATTACTTGAAAAAAAATTCTATATAAATATTGAAAAATAAAAAAAAAGTTAGTCAACGAAAAAAGTATATATTATATATAAAAAAACCTTATTTAAACTATTTTAAGTTTTTGTTCTAAACTAATTAGACTAATGTAAATTTGAACTAAGCTAATATTTATTAATTACTGCAAAGTAATAAATGAAAATATAAACTAAATTATGAAATTGAGGAAAAAACTGATTTAAACTTCTAAAAGTAATATGAGAAAGGGAAATTCTAAACTTCCAGTCATCCATTTCAGAGGACATCTAAGTAGCTTACTAATTGCTTAACTACTTTAAAGAATAGGTTACTAGTGGCAGAAAATGAGTACAACTTAAAATAGAAGGATTTCTGTTCATATTAAATTAAGAATAATGTCATTCCATTCTAAAAGAGTTGCCAATACTTATATTTTAATTTATGTGTATTTTTCTAATTACTAGTAGAAATTTTTTTTTTGAGTGATAATAGTGTAAGAAATTTTTTTTTGATAGAAAGAAATTATATTAATCTTTGTTTTATAAAATTTATATTAATCTTTTTATTCACATACATGACGTTATGATATAGACCTTTATTAAATTTATAATATTTTATATTATTAGTAAAAATTTGTTTTGAATAAAATTTATCTCAAAAATAATGGCAAAAAAAAGTGAAAAAGTTTATCTAAAATATTTCTTATGATTTATATTTTTATTTATAAATTTATTATTTTATTAAAAATTTAAATAATGTGAATAGTTAGAGTATCTGAAGTATTTAAATTAGTTGATTAATCATATTTAAATTTTAGCCAATCACAAATTGATATTATGTTTATCACATGATCTGTAGATCAA